AAGCCTCCCACGCGCTCTCACAAACCGGTTCCAATAATTAACAATTATTGGATAAGGCTGAGTGTTATCCGAAGAATTATGGAGATCGAGGAGGGCAACACCCTCCGAAATCTCCATAATTCTTCAGATGATACGAAAGCCGAATTCAATAACTGCTCGATGTCGAGTTCATTAGAAATATTTTGAATGAATAATGACCCATCAAAGAGCCATAAATTGGCTTGGGTACCACACAGGAAACAAGAAACCTGACTCCCACGTGAATTAAGGAATGGCTCCTCAGTGATATCTGACTTTTGTCATTTGTCATTTTTTCTCTGGTTTTGTTTCGTGCTCCTTTGCACTTTACTTATAACTGTGCCAGAATGAAAGGGAATACTTTTTTTTAGTGGTTACACTGCTGTTTTAAAACTTCACGTGATCTGCCATGCCAATGCTTTTGCAAATTTAAGACGAAATCCATCAGGAATGGGGTAATTTTAATTTTCAGTGGACAAAACCCTTGTACCAGAATATATTAAGCCATATCGCATTCTTTTTTACACTTTTCAAGGACTACAAATTTAATAAGTTATATGAAATAACTCCAAAGAAGAGGTCCGTAGTATAGGCAAAAAACAGAAAAACACCCCTTACAGGTGTACTGTCGCAATTTGTAATAATCATCGCACTTTGTAATACCTGTCGCAATTTGTAATAAATCCATCGCACTTTGTAATACCTGTCGCAATTTGTAATAAACCGTTTTGCACTTTGTAGTAAAAAAGGCGTCGCAATTTGCAACAACTGTCCATCGCACTTTGTAATAAACTAAGCTGTCGTAATTTGAAATAATTCCATCGCACTTTGTAATAACTTTTTGAGAGTAATTAAACTTACTCCGTCAACATTAATATAACGCCAAAATATGTGTGGTACTTCATAAACAAAGATAAATTGGCAACATCGGAAAAATCGGTAACCTTAATTTTCCTGTAACGTAAGAAATCAGATGTGTGTGTGTCACGTGATCACTTAAGAACTAAAAATGGAGTGGCGAGATGCCACACAGTATATATTAAATACAGTGTTTTTGTTATTATATCATCATTTCTCGCTTGAATCTGGCCGGAATGGTTGACTCACGTTTTTATTTAATTAGCAATTAAGCAAAATAGGTGACGTGCCCCTTTTCACCTGTTAATATCTTTTTAAGAAATTATCTCCGTTCCGGCCACGGAAAAAATTCGTTCGGTAACATGCTTGAGTAATTGCAAAATAGCGATCTTAGGCCTGGTTAAACGTTCAGGCACCGATCTTTTCATGAGCCGAACCTAATTCGAATTAAGGCCGATCCAAATTATTTAGACCAGCTGATTTGATTCAGACGCCGATCTTAATTGCAGCTGAACTAAGTTCATTAGGCGGAAAATGCTCATTTCGGTCAAACTGCTTACAAAATACGTTATAATAATTTATGCATTAGGCTCGGTACATGAATAGTTCGGCGTCTGAATCAAAACCGTTCCAAGGTTCGTCAAAAGGCGAAATTCTCGGCCAGGCTAGGCGAAAAGAACGGCTGAGCCGTTCCAAATTGAAATAGGCGTTCCTAATTGATTCAGACGCCGAACTTTTCATGTAATTAACTCAATGTATTAGGTTCGGCTCATGAAAAGTTCGGCATCTGAACCGGGCCTTAACCAAGGTACAGTAAGAACGCAAGGTACTGTAGCGTACCGGATAAAGTCGAGTTTAAAAAGTATGAAATAAACAAGACGCTGTGGGAGCGTATACTTGGGTGCACAACAGACGCAGTCTCAAACGCGACCAAGAACGGCCAATGGTTCCCATTTACACGAGCAAGTTTCCTGGACATTCTGTTGTTGTTTCAGTTGTTGTTGCGATGCCCTGTTTTATTTTTTTGTTTCTCTGTTTATTTTATGGAATCTACACTGCTGATTACGACTCGACTCCGACTCCGTTGCTAGTGAAAACCAGCCTAAATAAGCTTTAGTTTTTATTTCTTTGAAGAGCTGTCTTAAACCCAGGTGTGTTTAAAATAAAAGTAGCAGACCGAGATCTGAAAGGCTAAAGTTTTAGACAATATATATGGACGATTTGTTAAGTTTCGCGTACATAAGGTTGGTGTAAAATAAATGTATTTTATTGACCCAATACAACCAAATGTTTTTAAAAAAAAATAAAAGAAAATAAGGAAAGTAAGGAAATCCTTAACGCTAGTAAAATAACAGTCGTTGCAATAAAGAGACTTTAACGCGTTTTTCCTTTCCTGCTGTAGTGCTCAATACCATTTACAGGGTTCTGTCTCCTCCTACATCAGCGCGTTGAGCAAAGCGGCTGAGGTGAGCATGGGTCTTTAATTTGAGTTACTATGATGGGCCACACAGCGAGTTGGTAAAACGTCTTTTCTTTGTATAACATTACTTGCATAATATTACTTGGGTATTCCTCATCCAAACACTTAAAACTGGGTTTGTGACGTCGTTAATATATTATTTGATTAGTATGTGTAATCAAAGGGTGACGAGTGAAGGGAATAACTTCACGTGCGTTTGGTCCAAATCCTAATAATCTCCCGAGCCTTTAGGCGTGGGAACTTAGGATTTAGACAAAACGCAAGTGAAATTATTTCCCAATTTCGCGAGTATACCATTTGACTACCTATTAATATAATGGGTGACGAATTACGTTTGCAATCGTGAATTTTTTACCTTTTTATCCTAAATCGTATCGATCGAGAACTTCACTCTCTCAAATGTTAGACCTTAAATTCGGCTTAAGTTCAGAATTTTTGAATAAAATACCTGTTAGAATCCTTCTTGATGTGCTCTTTCGTGTGTTCAGGTTTTCTAAAGCGTCTTTTAGTGCGCTGACATCTTCATTCACAGCATTTTAAAACTTCGTCGCCATCTTGACACTGGGGCGTACGGAAGGTTGCCATGGCAATTAAACAATCTCACACGTGAGACAAATTAGTATAGGTAATAGCATGATTAATGTATTTACATTCGGCGGAGCTAAACGTAGTGGCAGTGACAGAGAATGTAAATACTTTCCTATCGGTATCAACGCACGTGAGCCGCTATAGCGTTAATTGACTCTGTTGTTGTAAGGTATATAAGGTTTTGACAGTTGTAATGTATTCATCTCAGCTCTCGAACTATCAAATTTTATTTTTATATCTTACTTTATTCATCTATCGATTGATTTTTTACCTTTAACCCCCAGAGGTTGTGCGACCGCATCGGTTGGGGAATACGTTCCCAATTTTTTCCCATTGGGTTTTTGGGTTTTCGTATCAGGCGGCGCACGTGAATAGTTTAGCCTGAGTAACTTTATTTAGGAATATTTGTATACCATTCTTTAGATATGATTTTGAACTTTGTATGTTATTTAGACGGCATTAAACACTCAGGCTCCATAGTTCGACCTGCACACCCATTCCCGTCTCTTAGTCGTGAATATAAATAGGAAGTAGTGATATTTGGCATAAATACCACGAGTGATATTTCAAAATTATTATACGTAATTTCAGGCGGGTGAAATTTGAGACAATTTTGAAATATCACAAGTGGTGTTTATGCCAAATATCACGTGCAAATCATGCTATTGTTCGTTTATACTACTACCCGCAAAAGGTTATAATTTTCACATGTAGGTATTTCAAATTAAGCTGAAATACCACTGCTCTAAGCCAATCAAATTGCAGAAATTTCTCATGTAGCAGTATAAACGCTGAAATTTCGCGCAAAAATTAAGGAGTAATTCGTCACCTATGATATCATAACAAAAACCTGCGATAAGCTTAAAATCTTATAGGGTAATGGGTCTGTAAGCACGCTTTTGACAAATTTACGTTGCTTTTATTTGCATATTCAAATTTAGATTACAGTTTGTCGGAAACCTAAAGGTTCTTCACCTTCCACAGTTCAGTTGTTTTTTTTATTGACTGCTCTACTAACATACTCCAAGTGCTTATTACCTTAACAGTTATCCTTAAGTCTTATAGTAATAATTCTGTCTANTGTAAGGTATATAAGGTTTTGACAGTTGTAATGTATTCATCTCAGCTCTCGAACTATCAAATTTTATTTTTATATCTTACTTTATTCATCTATCGATTGATTTTTTACCTTTAACCCCCAGAGGTTGTGCGACCGCATCGGTTGGGGAATACGTTCCCAATTTTTTCCCATTGGGTTTTTGGGTTTTCGTATCAGGCGGCGCACGTGAATAGTTTAGCCTGAGTAACTTTATTTAGGAATATTTGTATACCATTCTTTAGATATGATTTTGAACTTTGTATGTTATTTAGACGGCATTAAACACTCAGGCTCCATAGTTCGACCTGCACACCCATTCCCGTCTCTTAGTCGTGAATATAAATAGGAAGTAGTGATATTTGGCATAAATACCACGAGTGATATTTCAAAATTATTATACGTAATTTCAGGCGGGTGAAATTTGAGACAATTTTGAAATATCACAAGTGGTGTTTATGCCAAATATCACGTGCAAATCATGCTATTGTTCGTTTATACTACTACCCGCAAAAGGTTATAATTTTCACATGTAGGTATTTCAAATTAAGCTGAAATACCACTGCTCTAAGCCAATCAAATTGCAGAAATTTCTCATGTAGCAGTATAAACGCTGAAATTTCGCGCAAAAATTAAGGAGTAATTCGTCACCTATGATATCATAACAAAAACCTGCGATAAGCTTAAAATCTTATAGGGTAATGGGTCTGTAAGCACGCTTTTGACAAATTTACGTTGCTTTTATTTGCATATTCAAATTTAGATTACAGTTTGTCGGAAACCTAAAGGTTCTTCACCTTCCACAGTTCAGTTGTTTTTTTTATTGACTGCTCTACTAACATACTCCAAGTGCTTATTACCTTAACAGTTATCCTTAAGTCTTATAGTAATAATTCTGTCTATGGCTATCGTCTTGTTAAGAACCCTGAAACTTAAGAATAATATCTGAATCTGCTCTTATTAAACTTGTGGGGGAGGTACTTCTTCGACGTAGATCCGGGACACTGATTTCCAGCCTGTGGCCGCATCAGCAGAACCGTAACCTGAGCAGTGTCCGACCCAGAATCCCACGCGCACAGTGCCTTTGTGAATTTTATCGCAAACTCCTTCGACGTGGCGTGGGCGGTACAAATTGTTTATTCTGCTACCAGCTCCGAGATTCATATACACTGTCGCATCAATAGCTGCTGGGGCCGAACACTCTGCGCCATTAAAGGTGAAATACCATCGCCTACAACAGCTGTTGCAGTTATAGATGCGGAGGTGCCCACTCCAGTAGACACGCAGCCCTGTGTTATCTGACGTCTTCTTGAAAATACATTCTTGTTGAAAAGATTGGAAATGAAAAACAGAGCAACCAAATTCAAGATTCTCAGGGTCATCTTTTACTGCGCTTTTCAAAAACACGCGAGCTCTGAAGTTTAAAAGACACCTTCACAATTGCGATTTTCTCTGCTGCCACTCTCGATTACGATCACTAGCAGCGAACCTTGAAACACAGAAACACACCAAACTGATCGAAATCCACCAATCACAAACCATGACCTTTTGAAGCAGTTGAGGTCCGCTAAAATGGTTGACGGCAGCGAAAAACGCGACGTGTCAGTTGGCTTTTTAACTTCAGAATTCGCGTGTTTTTGAAAAGCGGAGTAATCCTTTTATTCACAACAGTTTCCTAATCGGTATGGTACTTTTTCATGCTGTGGTACATGGTAGGTAGCAGCCTGCCCCGGCCTGCAGATAGTGGGGAAGGCACAAAGAAGAATGAGCAGGAAAAAATAAACAATAAAAGGGTGCCACTCAACTAACTTGACAGGCTTCAATCAGGGTACAGAAAACGGACACTTGCGTCTGTGGACAAAATCCTATCATGGTGTTACCATTTACATTAAAACTGTTGAGCAGTGCTTTTATAAAATATCATTTGTTTTGCATGATTTTACTCGAAACAATATATATTTTTTAAATTTTTCATCATGTTGGAAGCAGAAGAAATAAATTATTAAAGAAATGAGCCACACGGGCTACTTACTGGTTCTAGTCCGAGCAAATTTGCAAACTAGACCAACAAATGGAAATCTAAATAAAACCTTTCTAAATAAAACCCAAGTACTGATAAACGTTTTATTCCGAGGCAAACTTTAACTTTTACCTTGACCAATCCTGAGTCCCTGTCATCGTTCAGATTCTTAAAAACGCACTGTTTCCAATTACGTGCAAAAGACCCTGGAGCCCCCTTGGGACCTGAGGGACCTTGACTTCCAGGAGGACCTGTATCACCTTTCTTTCCAGCGTGACCCGAGGGTCCTTGTGGTCCCTTGGGACCAGGGGGTCCTTGACTTCCAGGGGGACCTGCATCACCCTTGCTTCCGAGTGGGCCTGCTGGGCCCCTCGACCCTGTATCTCCCTTGGGGCCTGGAAGTCCCTGTTTTCCACGGGGTCCTTCATCGCCTTTGACTCCTCGTGGACCCATAGATCCTTCGGGTCCGTTATTCCCGGGTGATCCCGTTGTACCAGCTGGTCCCGCGGGTCCCGGGCTTCCTGGGATGCCTGGTATACCCGGTGCGCAGAAACACGGAGAGTAACCACAAGAGCCATGTTGTGAATTCTGTTGAAGAAATTTGAAAAAAATAAAGGATCATTGCATCATTCATTCTCTTTGACTTGGAATTTATGCACTTGGTATGTTTGCTCCTTGAATAACCTTTGAAAAAGAAGTAAATAAATAATTGACAATAAATTTTAACTAATAGTAAATAAATAAATAAATAAGTAAGTAAATAAATAAAAGTCGGTAGAAGCTAAGAACAGTAAAACAAGACTCGCGAGAAAGAGTCTACTTTAGGCCGCTGACACTACATGACGCTCACTGCTAGATTCCCTCATTCACTGACATATATCAAGTCCATCATTCGTTCAGTTGAGCAACAAATCAACTACTAATCATTTTATTAGTGTTCAACTATTCATTTCCTGTTAATTTGCATTATTCGACAAGGGGACTATCCATTTCGATTTTGAATTTTACCATTAATATGTATAAAGTGAAGCGGCATGAAACACGACTAGATATAAAAAAATTATTCTCATACTTTCATTGATTCCATCCAATTTCATTCCTTTTTTTCTGGTAAATCATGCTGGCAATCATCGACCATTCACTTTCTCGATTACTCACTGATATCTAATAAAGTCCTGCTCCTCTGAAATTTAACAAATCAAACTCACCTTGTGGCTGCTGTTTTTACTATTCGCAGAACACATGGGGATCAGCAGTAACGGTACTATCCATAACATAATGGCCAGTGGTATCTTCATACAGAATGGCATGATCGCGCAGAATCAAACTATGGGATGAATATATCGTTCAACAATCACCAGAAAGAGAACTGTGTTTTTCATTCTTCTCATGGAGAATGAAGATTTTTACTGTATTCGCTTTTTATTGTTCGCTATACTATCCTCGAGGAGAACTGAAGGCTACTAGACAAGTAATCTTGTTAGTTATTGAATTCTTACTCTTTCGAATAAAAAAAAGATCAAAACAAAACAAAACGGTTACAGGAATCAATCCGTTAGGCTTCCGCAATTCTCCTTTTTTCAGGTTTGAGAAATAAAGAACAACCTATGCGATTATAATCATCCTTTGTAAAACCAATTTTAGCTTGTTCGTAAAAACGCGTAAACAGGACGTAGTACTAGATTAAAAATAATAAAAACTGAAAAGATTTACATAGGAAAAAATGGCCATTGCTAGTGAAATATCTTCAGTGGTAAAGCAAACACAGTTGAAAGTTGATAATCTAACCTGAAACGAGCACTTCAAATTGGAAAATTACATTGAGCATCTTAAGAACTGAATTTTTAGCTACTTAGTACAGTAAGTCTAGGACAACTAAAATACATGTACCAACCTTAAATTGCTTGTATGGCTGTAGTCCGGCGTCCGCAAAAAGTGATGAATGGTTTAATATTATTGATCTTTTATGTCATCTTGTATAGTCATCTTTAGAATAAAAACATGTTTTTAGCACGTTCAAAAGCTTGTAGAAAGAATATGTCAAAACAAGGTAAAATGTTCTTATTGGTTAACTCACACCAAGCTGACCAATCAAGGCTTTCGTTTTATTCGGTAAGTTACGAGTTTGAAACAAGTTTAAGGACCAGTGACGTAAAAAACATGAAAAAGGACAAAATTCTTATTGGATAAATCATTTCTGGATTGACTGAAAGTACAATGGTATACCACGTTGCAAAACCTCTTTGTCAGTTTAATTGAGTTCAAGATTTTATACCAAAATAATTAAGAAAACAATTATTATTAGTTACGTAATTTATAAACTACAAGTTTACTATCACAGTTTTATTAGTTGGTATACGACTCGGCTCCAAATCGTAGGAAATCCCACCCCTCTTCCCCCACACTGAACTGCAAACAGTGCAATTTAAAAGGTTCGTTACACATACCTTACCACGGCGATACTTAAGACTATTGCGACAAAAGTGGTCGCATTATAGAAAAGTATACAACCCGGTCAGTTTCCTATTTTAACTCATACACGACTCGAATTTTGCTCGAAGAGGGAGTAAGTAGTCAAAGAAATAATTTTAACAGTTTTCCAGATATTCTTTTTAACTGATAAAAGAAAAAATCTCGAAATGAAGGCGAAATTTTATACCAGCTGTAATGTTTTTGGCAGCGACAAGAACTGAGCGATAAAAAACTTCAAATATTTAAGCCTAGGCTTTGTTCTGGACAACTGATCAGTTTTAGAACACAAATTAGGGATAGTCGTCAATATATTTTAAATCAAATTTTGTAGGGTAGTTCTTTTTAAAACGCGACAAGGTTGACTGAGAGACAACTTACCTTTAAGCCTATAGAACATGCCAAACTTGGCCCACCTGAGTACAACTAACCTGCAATGAGGATTAGGGAAATAAATGCCATGTCAAACATAAAAAATAACGAGAAATCGGCAAAAATACAAATGTACAACCCTTACCTTGCTGAATTTTTGTTCTTCAGTTTCTTCGTAACTATTCACTGGGAGTTAAACAAGTTCTCGCACGAACATGTTAAGGAGCATCATGACTTTATTCTACCGAGCACTACCATTGGCTACTTGTGGCTTACCCACTCAGCGACTAGTCCAATGATGTGGCGTCTTCTGCCATGCTTAGAGCTGAATAGGTTAAAATCTTGAGAAAAGAAAATTATTCCGCTTTTTATTGAAAAGCAGTGTGGAATTTCTTAACCTTGCTTACCAACGTCTTTTAAGACAACTTAAAAGTAAACTAAGAGCTCATCACCTTCTTTACGGTGGTACAAGCTAATTTTATAATTTTAAGCTATTGAATACAGTCTGTCTTCTTTCATTAAATATCTTTGTAAATCATATTTCCTGCTTATATTGACTTTTGCTGATTAATTTACACTTTTACCTTCAGTTAGACCAGTTGTTAGAAAAAATTAGCCCAAAATAATAGCTTATGGCGGTCTTCGGAACGATTCGATGATCAAAATACATTCGCCTGGAAAACAATTGATACGCTGCCTCAATAGTCTCAACTTGATCTTTTATTTATCGGCGCAGAACAAAACATAGAAAAAAAGTGTGACACAGTAAAATAATACTGAGTTTAGAAGAATTCATAAAATAATTAAAGACACTCGTCGGTTTACTTGGTCAGATACCTCCTTCCTAATGTACAAAGATTGAGAAATTGTAGACACTGATTCGACTCCCGCCCGCCAGTGACTATAATTAACACACCTTGCCTGCGTGGCAACAGCTCGCCTGGTCCAATTCCACTTAACGTCTTTGGGCAAACTTCGGTTTGAATTAAATTGAGAGCAGATAACATTTTTTGAGTGAACGCAGGGGGGTGGTAGTTTATTTTAGTAACACTGCTTACTTAATAGGGTTCTGTGCCTATGTAGGTAACACCAACACCCTACGAACGATGGTTTTCTTTTTCCTCCACCAAACGCATCGCTATATTGTAAGCAGACTGTTCTCGGGGGTTATGACAAATTTTTAGTAGACTTGCATGCGCTTGAAGTCCAGCCAATTTTCATGCTGATGTAGAACTATAATTGCAGTACTTAACTATATACTTGTGTCGCAGTCAGCTTTTTTTATTGGAGAGGCCTCGTTTCAAAACTTTCCATTGGTTTTTCTTTTTAATCATGTACATCAGGAGTGGGTGCTGAAACAAAAAACATTTTCAAAACAGTACGTCAACGAAACTATATGTGGATGGGAGCTAACTGTAAAAACGTCCGCTGCCGGGTAGGACCTTGCAATATTTCTGATACAAGGAGAACTTGAATGGACTCCTCATTGTAGTGCTTTTCCAAAACGTATCTCTGTGGCTTTGCAGCTAACTTTGGCCACATGTGGCGTTTAAACTAAAAAATTTATTGGATACATTACAGTCTTGAACAACATCAAACGTCGACATTCAATAAAGAAAAAACAAAAGAAATTAATATTTAAAATGATAAGGACACGGCTATAACACTGGGCAGCGCGGCAACAAGATGGCCGCTAGCATTTTAACTCCGTGCATGGAATCACGAAATTGCCAGTGGCTATAAAACTTTATATATTTTTGTTCTCTTTGTATGTATTTATGTCGTTAATGTTACATAGAAATATGCGTGTGTGTGTGCGCGTGTGTTTAGACCAGTTATATTTTATTTGATTATTGTATGTTATCTTTTTTGCTTTTCTGTATTTAGCATTTTATTTAATGTAATTAATCAATTAATTTATTTATTTTTCATCGTTGTATCCACTTAATTAGAAATCTTTTATATTTTTCCACCTGCTAAGGCAATGTATTAGTTTTACTATTTTTGCCCTTTTTCTCTTAGGTTATTTCTTAATTAATGAATTATTATCTGTTTCTATAACTTGACTGTATAACCTATTGAGAAAAACAAAATAAATTGACAACTAAACTTTACGTCCAATTTTTTAGACCAAAATAACCCCAAATCTAAATATTAGTGCAATAATAATACACCCCTGCTCATTTTTAATATAGTACACAAGCTATAAGTAGTAAAATGTGCATATTTCATAGGTTAAGGCTTACAACAAGCTGCCCCTATGGGCACGTGGACCTAAATGCTGACTCGACAGTTGCTGAAACAACGTTTAGCGCGTGCCCGTTCATGACTGCCCCTTATAACTAAGCCACAAGTACTTGCGTACAAAATTATTGCATCATAAATCGTTTCTTTAAAAAATTTCATACATATTCTGTTCACCGGTTTTGTCTACGGAGTGGTACTGACAAAAGTGGCTTGTATTTTTTAATCACTTTTTTTTTTGCAATTTTTAATTATTCTTTAAAAAAGTTTTCGAAAAATTATCAGATAAGTCTGGAATCTTCATGGCATGAAATGCAACCGCAGTACGCGTAACAGACTACAATATTTTTCTTTGACTATTTGCATAATATGTAAGAAGCTAATTAAAGAAAGCCTTCCTCGCGAGTTTGCCACAATTGGCATGGAATGTTGTATAATTTTAGGTTATAAAAGGATAGTATACCTTGATTATGTTTGGCAAATTAATTGGCAAACGATATTTTACGTTACTATATCAAACACTGAAGTCAGTTTTACCTTAAGGTTATAGAATGGACAGCGTGTGAATGTCGTGGACACAATACTCTAAAAGATCAAAGACGAAACAGGTCATTAGATTAAACTTAATGAGTAAAGAATACCCATAATTTATATAACACAAGAACTGCCGAAAAAAGGAGCCTACCGGTCAAAATGTCCATAATATCAGGCTTAGCCTCTTTCTTTCATTGCTAAACCAAAATCGTTGTCCATTTTGTTTTCTTTGCATGTAATGAAATACTTGTCAGATCAAGTTTGCAAAGAAATCTATTGTGTTTAACTCCTTGTTTGACAGGCAGCTGTCACTTATTAAAAAAGAAACAATCACGGATATTAACCAATAAATTTAAATCTTCCTATTCCCCTAGCGGCCGACTGGGGGAAAATCTGATCCAGCTCTTTTTTGAGGAAAGAACCCGCACTATTTTTCATCGCTTCCCCAAATCCCGTTTTTTGTTTCCAAAATATTTAAGTTATAAAAGACTAACTGCTGCAAAAGCTAATAAATGAAAGATGCAGATTCGCCTCCTCGATTAAAATTTTGAATTCACGTGTGTTTTAAGGCCATTGCAAAAACGAAACAGCCTTTCATATCTTAGTGTGACGAAGCGGGGGGGAAGAGCGGAAGAAACGAAGACGAAGACAAGATAGGAGAGAAGACACCACTGATCTCTGGCCTGATTGATTCGCAGTTTCTGCGCGTTCCTCGAATTCCCGACCCTGAAAGGCAAAACATTCCCCGCATGCCGTGTCCAAATTTTGGTGAATCCCACTTCCCGGGTAGCAGTCAGATCCCGTTTCCCGTCAAGATATTTTGCGTTTTTCTGAATCCCGCAGTGTATTTTATTCAAATTCCCGATCCCGAAAAATACCTAGCCTGCAGTGCAGGCGTTTTCTTCGGGCGCGCGAATGTTTTGCTCGCGAAAGCTCCATGTCAGAAACTCGAAACGAGAGGAGAATGATGGGGCGAGTCGAAGTAGGGTGCTAATGGGGGTACCCAATTCTCAGTCAACTACTAATTTTTCAGCCAAATATCAGTTAACTACCATTTTTTGGCCAATTCTCAGTTAACTATACTAATTTTGGTTAGCTATTAACTTTCACTTTCCTATAAACCGATTTCTGCTGTGAGTACTTATTAGATTAATATAAACATCAATATGACACCAGCCTCATAGATCCAGACGCACCAGTCATGATCTCGTATTGATCTTCCAGACCTTGTCATGCATGTCTTTCTATAAACTACTTCAAAGTCACCTTCTTCTTCACTTTCATTACCTATAAAATCAGTCTCGTACTTATCTGGTTGGTACATGTCCTGTATCTTGTTGCTGGCCTGAGTTTCAATCCATTTTCAATCCTTCAGTCTATTACAATAGGCGACGGGAAACAATATCAATGCCAAAATATAGCCTTACATAACAAAAACTGGACCATTATTTTTGGAATTCAATTGATGCAAAAAAAGTTTTAGCTTTTAAAAAAGATAACAAATAGTATGACGTAGTTCCGTGACGCTGGTGGTAAAGATCCCGCTTTATCTTGAGTGGATTCGCTTCTTGTAATTCATTGTCAAACATGTCGAAAATTCTCTATCCAGTGAAGCCACTTTATGAAAAAACAACAACGTCAAAAACACCGGTGTTGTTTTACGGTCTAAAACGACAACGCTTAGCGTTATTATTCAACTTGATTAGAAAGAAAAAAAAACTCGTCTCCTTTACTGCACTAGTACACACCTAGATCAGCCCCGACCGGTTGTTCAGAGGAAACGTTATAAGGCATGCATATATTGATACCTTTTAATTGTCGACTTCATTTCAACTCTTCTATCGTTTTAAATAAAAGTCAGAACTACCACTAAAAACGAAGATGACTTAATATCCGTTAAGCCAATACAGTTCAATACTTTAGATCAAGGCGTCATTGCCTCTCTAGGTTAATTGTTCTTATCCTTAAAACTTTGGAAAATACCCAGGCTGTTAGCAATAATTTTACATCTAAGCTTTCTGACACTTTTTGATATCACGTTTAAGATATCGATCAGTGGACCGATAACACCTGAAACGGCGTGAAACCGAGAGGATGTATTTTGTTGTATCTAAATATTCTTTACTTGCCAAATAAAAAATTTTCCCATATTTTGGCTGTAAGATATTTCTTATAAAAGCAAGCATTAGCTCGAGACGTCCAAGAACTCAAAATCACAAGTCATCAAGTTAAAAATCAAATCTTTATAGCAAAGGTCCAGCATGATCCTCTCAATTGATTATAAGGTAAGTAACATTTTCTTTGATGAGTATGATGATAACCAGGGTCATTACATTTAGGCAGGATCTAAATTTCGCGGCTTAGCCTACAGTCACTTTTAACGGACAATTTTTAGTCTTCAGAAGGCACTCAAATAGCTTTCTTTGAATCTGTGAAAAGTCCAGCCTCTTTCGCAGGGTCCTCTTCCACTCGTCCCCCAGAGGTGGGGGGTGGGGGGCGAGTTGGAGAAGACCTTATCAACGAGGTTTCGAAAGATCTACTACACAAATGTAAACAAATGACATAGTTCTGTATGTTAAGCGATTACGTATACTACACTTTAAATGTAGAATGAAGTAAAGGCAAGTTGTGCGCACTGAGTGGTATTTAAGTCAAAATTACGCTTGAAATCGTCTTATATATGAGAACGGTTTGGATGACTCTTCTTTACATCAAAACTATTCATTAAAAGAAGGTTTTTTAAAAACACGAGTCATGCATGCAACACGTTTCAGTATACTTGCTTCCTGGTGTTCAATTTTGCCATGTTTTGTTGTTTTCTATTCCTTTTTCCTTCGTTTATTTTTGTGAGCTTTTTGCTGGCAATAAATCTTTTAGGGGTGTCTTCTTTATTTATCAAAACTAAAAAACAAAACAAAACAAAACAGATATTAATTTGTTACTTAAAAGTATTCATACCAGCGCCTTATTTTCTTTTTCAGCTGATGATTTCATTGCTAATCGTCGTCTTAAGTTGCTCCACTTTGTGTTTAACCAAACCTCTTTTTCCTGAGATGCCATTCCTTCACAATCACACCGCCACTCATCAATCACTTGATCAAGATTACCATATACAAAACACTATCGTTCAACCAGAGCTGGAGTACATTGAAAACGCCGAGAATGAAGTTACAAGTAGTTTAGAAGGGTATTTCAGCAAACATGTTGTGAGCAACNAGCTTTTTGCTGGCAATAAATCTTTTAGGGGTGTCTTCTTTATTTATCAAAACTAAAAAACAAAACAAAACAAAACAGATATTAATTTGTTACTTAAAAGTATTCATACCAGCGCCTTATTTTCTTTTTCAGCTGATGATTTCATTGCTAATCGTCGTCTTAAGTTGCTCCACTTTGTGTTTAACCAAACCTCTTTTTCCTGAGATGCCATTCCTTCACAATCACACCGCCACTCATCAATCACTTGATCAAGATTACCATATACAAAACACTATCGTTCAACCAGAGCTGGAGTACATTGAAAACGCCGAGAATGAAGTTACAAGTAGTTTAGAAGGGTATTTCAGCAAACATGTTGTGAGCAACAGAACAGCAAGAGATGCAAATAACCCGTGCTTTGACTATACCGAGAGAAAGTGGGATTCATGCAGGCAAAAGTATGTCTTCGAGGTCCATTGTCATAGTACGCACGCTGCCTGTTATGGAGCGCTGGCTCAAGGATATAGTTACCCCGCCTGTAAAGTAGTGATTGGCTATCCACAAGCTAAATTCATTTCAAAATGTAATGCTTTACAGATAGACTGTCAATGTGCAGCGTAAATTCATTCATTGAAGAAAGAATAAGATATTATATTTAAAGTGATAAATGTATTTATTTATTTATATTTCGAGAAATAAAGACTCGATATTCAGCGAAGACCATTTATAATGTATTAAACTTTTAAGAGACAAATAAATCAATTATACTGATAAAGACGAATGAGGATTTTCTTTATCAAATGTGTTCTGCCTTAGCTAGAGCTTGAACAAGCAAGGTGATTCATATTTTGTTTAAATGTAAATAATATTTTACAATCGGAGGTACGGATTTTTAGTCTGGGTTTGAATTGATTGTTCACAGTCCCCTATTTTTCAGTAATATCGTGGAGAACGAGGGCTAGAGGCGGCCATCTTGACCGAGACTAGCTTGATAATGACTTACTCATCTAACCCCGACGCCCACAGTACCCTCTAGAAACACTTGAAACCAATTTTAAAAAATGGCTGCCAATGGCGGTGAGCTCTCTATCTCGACGACAGTCTAGAGTTTAAATAAAAAATTCATGATATAAAAACTCCTGGTCGTAAATAAATTGTGCTCAAACAGTTGAAACTCTGACGTATGCGTTCAGGTATTAAAAACGTCACATTTATATAGCCCACTTCGGAAAAAGGTGATAGCCTGGGACCCAAACTAAGCGCGCGCGTAGTTATAGGATTCTTTGGGGGGACAAAGTAAGCAGCCACTTTGTATTATGACGAGACGCAAGTTGTTGTGTGCCTTTGTGCACAAATAACTTCAGGAACTCCCCTGGTCTGGCATTTTATAGAATAGTAAAGACAAGACGTATCCAGCGAGAATATGTACGTTTGTTTCGGAACGCCAATTTAAAGTTGACCTCCGATAGCACACGGATTTGCATTCGTCTAGTTTTTCTCGAAGTAAAATCTCCCAGGCACATCTTCCCTTAGCTTCACATTTTCATGTTTTTTTTTTCTTTCAATTCCACCTTCCTTTTTGCTATTTTGAGCTGTTTTGACCCCTCTGAAACATTCCAGTCCGCTTTCCGCCATGTTCATTTACATTCACGTCCCTCCATTGGGAAATATTTAAATATAAATGTAGAAAAAGACTAGATAAACAACTATAAAATACTAAAAACTAGATATCCTCCCTCAATCCAACAATATCTAAACAAGCAATTTGAGAATATTATTAACAGGTCAAAGTAATGCTAAAATTACTAAATATAAATTACGATAAGCTAGCCCCCTCCCTTTTATAAGCTCCTTGAAGGCTGCAATATCCCTAGCTTCTCGTCTATCATGATTCAAATCATTCCAATCATTACTAGCAAAATTAATTGACGCCCAATGCCGACGTCATTTGCGCTTAGCAGCAGTCTGACGTATGTTGAACTTAGATCTGGCCCGTAACAATCTTTATGTTATCTTAGATCAAACCTATAGGAGAAGAGGTACTACATTTATAAATGAATATTAAACGATGCATCTCTCTTCTAATCTTGAGATTTACCCGGGAGAGCCTATCTAAGGCAGCACTTGCAGATGATCTATAATAAGGGTCTAAGATGATACGTGCAGCTTTGTTCTGTATGTAATGATTGTAAATCTGACATTAAAGACTCATTATCCCGATTCCCCCAGACTATTTCAGCGTAGTCAAACAAGGGCAAAATGAAAGAATTACGATCAATATAACAAAGAAATCTGGTTTTAGTGGTTCGACAGTCAATCAAAACTTTAAAATTTAAAGTGTCAGTGGTCCCGGATGAGCTCCTTGCACTGTAAACTCTGAAAAGATGCATACTCTCTATAATGTCGATTCCCAGTTCCCCAAAGTTCAACTCGCACTGATAATCCTGAACCGTTTCCTTAGAATTGGAAATAAGCATCTTCTCCATGTAACCGTGCAAGATCACTTCAAGAGTTCGGAACAAGCCATCAAAAAAATTTCCCCAGGACTGATAGAATTTCCTTTCGAAACTAGTTCAGATGATAAAGTTGTATTGCAAACAGGTGTAAGGTATCCGCAAACTCATTAATAAGGGAAAATACAAATACGTTAGATTTTTTTCTCAAGATTGTCTATAATCTTACAAAACAGGGGTGTTTATTTTAGTTCCATTTCCCTAAACATTGCAAAACACAACATTATACTTTAACAAGAATGAGCACATAAATTTATCTGCTGGCGCTGTTTTATGATTTTTGATTGAAAAATGAAAACTCCTCTCCTTTACTGACCAGTTCATACCTGACCTAGGTCAACTCTAGCCAGTTGTAAAGGGAAAATGTGTTACGACATTTTATTTTAGAACATATATTGGAAACCTTTAATCAACTAAAAAAGAACGGAAGATAACATTATTGACTTTATTACAGCTCTTCTACCGGCATTCGAAATTTAAGTCAGAGCTAGAACTACCACTAGCAATGAAAGATGACTTAATGTCAGTTAAGCCAATACTCCATAGTTCCTTTCTAGATCACTGGCAATTGCGTTTATCCTTAAAAGTATGTATAACACCCAGACTGTTAACAATAATTTTAATTCCAAGCTTTCTGACACTTCCTGTATCAGGTTCCAGAGATCAGTTGAACGATAATGCCTGAAACGGCCTTAAACCAAGAGGATTTATTGAATTGATCTGAATTACTTTTTTAAATAATCTCTTCTTAGCGAATGAAAAATTTCCCATATTTTGGCTATTAGTTTTTTCTTATAAAAGCAAGCATAAGTTAGCTGTGCACCATATCGAAGGCTTTACTTTGAGACGCCCAAGAACTCAAAAACACATATTAACTTACTCGCCTCAGCAAGTTACCAAGTTGAATGTCTTTAAAGCAAGGATCCAAAATGATACTCGTAATTGATTATAAGGTAAGAAAACATGTTCTTTGGTGCATTTATATTTTAAAGTAGTATCTAAATTTCATGACTTAGCATAAAGTCACTTTCAACAGACAATTTTTGAGTTTTCAGGAGGTACTTAAATAGCTTTTAATCAATGGATAATCTGGTTTAAAAATGTAAACCGAAGACAAATTTTGTACACGTTGAGCAATTACATAAACTGTATAACTGAAAGCACTCTTAGCAGTATTTAAGTCAAAATTGCATGAAGTGGCGTCTTTGTTTAATTGTGCATGGGCAGTATTTTGATGATTGGAGTTGAATAATTCTTCTTTTCACTTGACTATTTATTAAAACGATGGTTTGTAACTCACTGATTTACCACATGAGTCAAGCATGCAACATTTTTTGTATCTCCCCCGTGTTTACTTTTGCTCTGTTTTTTTTTTTTCTTCCTATTTTCTTTTCTTGTCTTTTTCTCTTTCAACCCGCGGCAGGAATAGTTCAGTCGGTAGAGCGCTTGACTGGAGAGCGGGAGGTCGCGGGTTCGATTCCCCGGACCGTACCGACACTCCTGGTCTAAAATAACTGAGAAATGAAGGTACTCCCTTTGCCCTGCTATTGGCTAGACCTTCGCATGGCTCGGATGACCACGTAAAACGGCCTTCCCGCTCCCAGTAAGAGACCTAAAAATAGTGTCCCCAGTTAGTACTTTCTTGCTAAATCAGTGACACTCAAATAAAGTGCATTTTCCCCCCTTCGTTTACTTTTGTAATATTTTTGTAAGCCTTCTTTATGACAACATAGATATTTTAGGAGTGTGTTGTTTTTTCGTCAAAACGAAAATCAGATATTATTTTGTTACTTAAAAGTATTCATACCAGCACCTTCTTTATTTTTCAGCAGATGATTTTTCTACTAATCGTCGTCTTAATCTGCTCCACTTTGTGTTTAACCAAACCTCTTTTTCCTGAGATGCCATTCCTTTACAATCACACCGCCACCCATCAATCACGAGATCAAGATAACCACTCAGTAGATGCTATCGTTCAGCCAGAGCTAAAGTACATTGAAAACGCCGAGAGTGAAGTTACAAGTAGTTTAGAACAGTTTTTAAACAAACACGTCGTGAGCAATAGAACAGCCAGGGACGTTAATAACCCGTGCTTTGAAAAAGCAGTGAAAACTTGGGATAAATGCAGGCAAAAGTATGTCTACGAGGTCCGTTGTCATAGTGTGCACAATGCCTGTTATGGAGCGCTGGCTAAAGGTTATAGTTACCCCGCCTGTAAAGAAGTAATTGGCTATCCTCAAGCTAAATACATCTCAAAATGTGCTGCATTGCCTATAGACTGTCAATGTGCCGCGTAAATTCATTTGCTGAAGAAAAGAAGGAGGATATAATTATATTTAAAGTGAATGTATTTCATATTTCGAGAGATGTCTAGCGTCAGTCTATTTATTGGAACACTGAACGGCGAGCTGTTAATTTTCGTATTAAATGTATTTATTCATCAAGAGACAAATAAATTATGTTTTAATAAAAACAAATGAGGAATTCTCCTATTTATTGTTTTATAGCTGGTTTACAAGCAAGTGAAAATTATCGTTTAGATGGTTAATTGCTTAGTTATAATTATGATTTTTTTCTAAAAACTGTCGCGAATTCAGTTAGAGAGATGTGATGTCCGCACATGTAAATGGTGCCCTTTTTCAAATAACTAGTAGCTGGTGAGAAAATCTGGCTAAAAATGGAAAAAAAATTTCTCTTTACGAGTCTGAATTATTTTCCTGAAAAAGTGTAAAAAATCTAGGCTGAGGTGGCTCTAAAATTATATGATGCCAAAATCCACTTGTTTTACTTGGAAGGCAGGGAGAAATTCTCAGTAGTTGGAATTTTTTAAAGAAAGGATTAATTAATCCTTTTAAACCACTATAGACTGATGGGAAAATGATTCCTGTCACCCCTACATTCAAGTTTTGCCAATATTTTTGAGACAAAATATAAAATCAAAACCCATAATAGCACTGAATGAACAACTGTTAAAAGAGTTCTACTGTATTGAGCTTGAAGTGACTATGGGGCACATTACAAAGAAAATTTGAACGAAACTTCGAACAACGTTGTACTTTTCTATGTCGTAATGTATTGGGCTTTTCATTAAACTGGGTACTTTAAAA